CTCACTGTCTCTCTGTCAAATAAATAAATAAATCTTAAAAAAAAATAAATAAAGTTGGATGCTTAACCCACTGAACTTTCTCTTTCATTTGATTCTGTTCATTTGAATCCTCTCTTTTTTCTTGGTGAGTCTAAAGATTTGCCAGTCTTGTTAATTTCTTCAAAGAATCAGAACTTAGTTTCATTGATCTTCTCTATTGTCTTTTTAGTCTCCTTTTCATTCATTTCTACTCTGATCTTTGCTATTTTCTTCCTCTACTAACTTGGGGCTGAGTTTATTCTTTTTCTAGTACTTTGAGGTATAAAGTAGGGTTTTTAATTTAAGAGCGATCTTGTTTATTAATATATGTATTTATCACTGTGAACTTCCCTCTTACAACTGCTTTTGCAGCATTTTATAAGTTTTGGCATGTTGTTTCCATTTTCATTTCTCCCAAGGTATTTTTTTATTTCTTTTGATTTTTTTCCTTTGACTCTGGTTGTTCTGTAGTGTGTTTTTAAATCTCCAAATCTTTGTGTACTTTCCAGTTTTCTTCTTGTAATTGATTTCCAGTTTCATACCACTGTGATTAGAAAATATGATTGTGATAGGATTTCACTCTTCTTGAATTTATTAAGCCCTGTTTTGTGGTCTAACAGGATTATTCTAGAGAATGTTCTGTGTGCTTGAGAATGTGTATTCTCTTGCTTTGGATGGAATGTTCTGTATATATCTGTTAGGTCCACCTGGCATAACACGTCATTTAAGGCTACTGTTTCCATACTGATTTTCTGCCTGGATGAGCTATCCACCGATGAAAGTGGGCTATTAAAGCCCCATACTATTATTTTGTTGCTGCTTATTTCTTCTTAAAGGTGTGTTAATATTTGCTTTATATATTTAGGTGCTTCTATGTTGGAAACGTAAATATTTACAAATGTTATATCCTCTTGCTGGACTGACCTCTTCATCATTATGTCATGTTCTTCCTCTCTTATTGTAGTCTTTTTAAAGTCTGTTTTGTCTGACATAAGTGTAGGTATCCTTCCTTTGGTTTCCTTAGCATAGAATATCTTTTTCCATCCTCTCACTTTCCATCTTTGTGTCCTTAAATCTGAGGTGATTCTTACAGGCAGCATATAGATGGGTCTGTAGAGACACGTTATAATTAAAATGTCAAAAGTTAAAGACAAGGAATCTTTAAAGCACCAAGAGAAAAACAACTTGTTACATACAAGGGAACCCTCATAAAAAATATCAGCAGATTTTTCAACAGAAATTTGCTGGCCAGAAGGGATTGGCATGATATATTTAAAGTGCTGGAAGAAAAAAACTTCCAACCAAGAATTCTCTACCCAGCAAGAATTGTTATTCAGAATGGAAGGAGAAATAAATTTCCAGATAAGCAAAAGCTAAAGGGGTTCATCACCACTCAACAGGCCTTACCAGAAATGTTAAAGGGATGTCTTTTTTTTTTTTTAAGTTTATTTTTTTAGTAATCTCTATACCCAATGTGAGGCTCGAATCCACGACACCAAGATCAAGAGTCATGTGTTCTTCCAACTGAGTCAGCCAGGTGCCCCTAAAGGGATGTCTTTAAGCTGAAAGGAGAGGGTGCTAATTAGTAATAGGAAAACATATGAAAGTATAAATCTCACTGGTGAGGGTAAGTATATAGTAAAATTTAGAATACTGTAATGTTGTAGAGGTGGTGGATTAATTACTTTATAAAGCTAGTATAAAGGATAAAAAAAGGTAGTAAGAAGAACTACGATAATTAAAGGATACGCAAGATAAAAAGATGTAAAATGTATTAAAGACAAATTGTAGTGGGTGGAGTAAAAATGTAGAGCTTTAGGATGCATTCAAAATCAAGTTGTTATCAACTTAAAATTGGCTGCTCTTATAAGCTGTGATATGTAAGCTTCATGGTAACCACAAAGCAAAAACCTATAGTAGATACAAAAAAGAGAAAGGAATAGAAGTGTACCACTACAGAAAATCATCAAATCACAAAGGAGGAAAGCAAGAAAAGAAGAAAGCAGGAAAGCACAAAGAAAGAAAGGAACAGAGGAACTACAAAACTGCCGGAAATCAACAAAATGGCAACGAGGACATACCTATCAATAATACCATAAATGGACTAAACTAAGAGTGGCCGAGGACATATTTTGAGGTAAAAACAATGTATACTCACCCCCATCTATGTATAAATGCCTAGAAAAGTCCAGAAAAACAAACAGTGCTTACTTTCGGTGGGACAGGAGAGTGTTAACGGGTTGAACAGTCTCCCCCAAATTAATAATGGAGTTCTAGCCTGTAGTACCTCAGCATTTGATCTTATTTGGAGAATTGAATCTTTACAAAGGTAATCAAATTAAAAAACTAGGTCATCAGGGTGGGCCTTTAAGCCAGTATGACTGATATCCTTATAAAAAGGGGAAATTGGGACACAGACACATACAGAAGGAAGATGATATGAACAGACGTAGGGAGGAGATGACCACTTATAAGCCCACGTAAAAAGCCTGGAGCAGATTTTCCCCTCACATCTTGTGTTTGGACTTCTAGCCTCCGTAACGGAGACAATACATTTCCGTTGTTTAAGCTACCCAGTCTGTACTTTATGGCAGCCCTAGCAAGCTAACACAAGGAGACGCCCATTTTTATATTTTTGTAGCATATGACATTGTTATAATGACTATGTATAGTCTATAATCGGAGCACCCCCCTTCCATTTTTAATTCTGAAAAACGAGAGACGAGACAGAAGAGGGGAGAAGAGGACCAGGCATGACTATCACATAACTGGTTTTATTCCTCATCAGTAAATAGGGAGCGTACCTCCTGCTACTCACTCGGTCCGGGCCCCACCCTCACCCCCACCCAACACTGCCCTCTCTCTTGGGGGCCATGAGCTGAGAAGATCATTGGGCCCTGATCTGCTAGGTGACAACTAGCGTCTGGTCATGCAAGATGTCCCCAGGCCCATCTCCCTTCATTGCACACATCTGGTTCAGGCCTAGACCAAGTGTGGCATTTCTAACCATCGCACCCCACAGATCAGAAAGTCCCAGGTGCCTGCAGTAAGAATGCCTGCAAGCAGCTCGCACACTTTTAAAAGCTCTGGCCCCTCATTCACACAGAGGGGTTGCCTGCTTCGAAGCCACATTAGAGTAACAAACCACCCTAGGAGTCCCTGTAAAACAGAATTCTTCCAACAATTCTTCTCCTGGGAAGATGTCCTGCTTTTCCAGGGGTGGGGGGGGGGGGGGGGGGGGAGCAGCAGGGAGGAGCAGGGGCCCAGGAGAAGAGGGCACTGACTTGCAGGGGTCAAGGCCACCAGAGGGCTGGAAGGTTTAAGATAGCAGAGCTCTGCAAGACCATGTGCTCCAATCCTGGTCAAATAGGCTGAGCCAGATCTAGCCCTCTCGGCAGAACTGCTCAGACCGAGGCCCCGGACTTTCTGGCAAGTTGCATGCACTGGTCCTGGAGGAATCCAGCCAGCCTAGTACAATTCTGCAGCTAGCCCTTGGGCCAGCAAGGAATCAAAACCGAATTTAGAATTGCAGAGAGGTTAAGAAAAAGAAATCTTAACGTGTATGTGGTAGGTCTACTCACAAAATAGCGACAAAGACTTCAGCCTCCTGTGCTTCAAGAGGTTGTCCTCTCCAGTTCCTGATGTTTCCTCAGGTTTCCAGCATACAGGAGGAGCTGAGGACAGGACTAGCATTTCGAAGCGCCTTCTGTATACTGCACTGTAACTACAGCACAGCCTTTGACCTTCCCAATGTGCAGAGGACAGGTGGTATTCCACTTGTTCTGCCCGAAAAAACCAAAGCTCCGAGAGGTGAAGTCACTTGCCCAAGGGTTAATGGCTAATAATGACAGAGACACTGAATCAAGATTGAATTAATGGACTTTGTACCTGCTTTCTCACCTGAGTGGAAATGATCCCTCTTCTTGGCGGGGGTTTAAAGGAGATGATGTGTGCAGCACACCCAGCTCCTGGCTGAGCACACAAGGCACCAGATGACCAGCTAATCCTGAGGCAGACTGCTGGGCCCCAGAGAGCAGGGAGGACTGAGCAAGGCTCTGGACCGGTGACCCCTTTTCAAGCCCCCAGAGAGGTGAGCAGAGGTATGAGAGCGAGGCTGGGAAAGGAACAGGGCTCATCAACTTTCTTGAAAACATATTTTCCATTGGATGTCTTCTTCCATGTTGGCTCTTCACCCACTATAATCTTTATGCCCCTCCTACTCCGAACGGATTTCATGTTCTCTGATCGTCTCTTAGTTACTAATCTTTATGGCTGGCTTCTCTCCTCTTGCTTTCCAACCCCCAGCATCTCCTATTGTTTTTCACCTTTGCCAGTGGCTTGGAAGAGTTAAAACTAAGACAGAGGGCCCCTCTCCGTGTCTTTTTAAGGCCCCTGCTTGGTTCTCTAGAGAGGAGCCGAAATATTCCCCTGTGACCCTTAAAAGACCCCACACTCTACTTCCTCCGGGGGATTGCCATTGTAACTTTTGGGCATCCAAAGAGCCCATTTGGAAGGGAAAGGGGGCCAGATGTCACTGAAACAGAACCACTCTGAGGAGACCAAGGGTCTTGTAGTGTTAACAATTGTTTTCTGTGAGAAACCATCTCCCAAACTCCAACAAGCCCACCCACCCGAGGTTCGGCAGGAATTGGTGGAAAATAACGCGGAGGAAGTACAGCTGTTCCCTCCGAGGAGCACACGTGGGGGAAGCCGGGCCCAGGACGAGGGGGTGTTCCCGGGGCTGTGACATACAGCATTCCTTTCGCTTGAGGCATCCAAGCCCAAGGAGCTGCAGTCTCCCCTTGGGAATATGACATAACCACAGCCGGGAAGGGCCTCACAAAAACAGACCGGTGTCCACGCGTCCTTCTCCAAAGGAAGCCCCTTCCCATCCTCTGTGCGAGAACGCTCGCGTGCGCCGAGGCTCAACCGCCCCCCCATGTCCTGCCAGACAAATACCCCAAAGTCAACGATCTGATAGGATGTGTTTATATTTACATGGTACATTTTAAAGCAATGGCTACATTGGTCATACATATTAGAAACCATAAAAAAAAGTTAAGAACTAAAATGTACATCATACACTTGTATATATATTTTTTACACAGAGGTAAAAAGGCTTATTATAAAAAAATCAATACAACAGGGTTTTTAGTATACAGGTAAAGAATGAATTATGCTTCAGGCACTTTGTTAATGTGAGCAAATAGCTTGGGGGGGGGGTTGGTCAGAGGAAGCTTCCAAACAAATCTTTTGGTTAATGTTTTGTTACCACAGATACAAAAATAAAATCTGAATAATTTCTCTCAAATGATTGACGTCAGTATGGCAAAGCTGACTGGGAAAATAACTACACACTGTTCAGCTGCAGTGTGGCAATTAGAGACGTATTTACATCAATGTCCCTATGGCTGTCCTTGTGCCCTTAACCGCTCGCTGCCTTCACAGACCAAAACGTATAGGCGGAGTAAGATTCACTAGCATAACTCTTCAAAGGGGTGGAACAGAACAAGGGGTAAGTAACCACTAGACAGGGGCTACAAACAAAACGCGGCAGGATATGTGTGTTCCTAGTGAAATAAATAGGGGCACTTGAACTGAGGTCTAACAAACCTACATTAGTGTTGTGCTTTGTAGAGAGGAGAGACCTTGAGAAAGGCCCTGAGGAAATGCCTCAGGACGGGGGACTTGGTGGGGGTGGGGGCTGGTCTCTTGACAGGGTCTGGAGGCTGGCTGGAGGTCTTCTACATGTTCTCCAGGCTGGGAAGCAGTTCTCGTTTCTTCCATCACCAGACTGAGCGCTCTGCTCCTTTTCCAAGCAGGAAGACCCAAACCAGTCACTCCAACAAAGGAAAAACGTCTACCAACTAACTCTTAAGCACACGGAGTATTTACACCGATGATCTGACTAAAGAAATGTGATGGCCGCTCAGATGAGCTGAAAACATTCCATGAAGGTAAGCATGGCTAGCACTTCCCCAATATGATTGGCAGACTGGAAAAAAGTCCCCTTCCTTGAAGACTGCTGTCCTGTGTGCAATAGAGAAGGGACGGGGGAAGTGGAAATACAGAGAGCAGGCCATGCCCTCAGCTGGCAATTACCACAGGGAAATCATGGCGGGAAGAACGGCCAGCCTTGACAAGCCTGTCTCCTACGGTCTCCATGACGTTCTGATTGTACTATGCTAGGTACCACTCTTCACTTTTCTTCTTTCTGCAACAAGAAGATTTGGCTACTCCTTGCAATATATTAGAAAAATACTCTTTTCCAGCTAATTAGAAGCCTCCTACATGGCAAGGCGACAGGTAGACCCAGACTGCTAACCTAACCATCTGTGCACCCGAACTGGCAAGTCTGGGATTGGAGATGCAGGAGAAAGACACTTAGGCATGGAAGGGTTTTTACATATGGCCTTGTTTTTTTCCCCCAAGTATAAATGAAGAATTTGGTGATGTGAAATTCAGTCCAGAATGAAAACAAAAACAGAAACCCACAAACAAAATGCAACCCACCATTCTTCTGATTTAGGACATTTAAAATGCACCACCCCCTAGCCCCCCAGGAAATAGCCAGTGGGGGTGTGGGAGGAAGCTCCTTTAATCTTATTTACTACAACCTCAGTGTCTCAACTGTAACTCTTTGGAGAACGTGTGTGTGTGTGCGCGTGTGTGTGTGTGCGTGCGCGTATGACTAGACTATTTCGTTTTCAACTAACTCTTTGGAGAACGTGTGTGTGTGTGCGTGTGTGTGTGTGTGCGTGCGCGTATGACTAGACTATTTCGTTTTCAACTGTAACTCTTTGGAGAACGTGTGTGTGTGTGTGTGTGTGTGTGTGTGTGTGTGTCTAGACTATTTCGTTTGCCAAACAATGAGCACAATTTCTTAGTGTTTTCTTCTAATATTGCTAAATTTTTAGAAATGGTGGTAACACAATTTTAAAAAGTTCTACTTTAGGGGTTATGTGGAGGCTCAGAGAGACCTGAAATCCCCCTTCTCTAGCCCTGGTCCATGAGGATGCAATGCGGTTTAAGGAATTTTCCTGATTCACACAAGTTAATCTTAAGTTAAGGCTCAATTCTCATTTTATGGGTGAATGTTTTGCATCAGTAAATAATTGACAGAAAATGATGATGGGCTCCGGATAGAAACTGCAGCTTCATTGGGAAATTTGGCTTTACAAAAGTTAAAGCGATCTTGTTTTGGGGTAGAAGTTTGTTAACTAGCTCACCTCCGATACATAATCTGACTGCCCGTTAAAATACTTCTGGTGGGGTTTCATCGTTCTGACGTTACCTATCCGCAGGAACCCGATGCTCCTTAGCGACCAGCAAGCTGAGCCAAGAGAAAGAGCGTCTGGGAAAAACCAACTATAAACCCCACCCCAAACCGGCAGTTCCGACTACAGGCGCCTTTGCAATGGAAGAGGTGGGTAGGAAAGACATGAAATCAACACATGTATAAGACAGATTGATTACAGATTAATAATACACGAGTGTCTGTGCGGAGGTTCCTTTCCTTCGAACGTTGTGTGCGTGCGTGTGTGTCTGGGTGTGTGTCTGATGCAGAATGGGTGGCTGGGGGGCGGGGGGGCGGGAAGTGCAGAGTCCACCAGGCAGGCTCCCCAGGCTGGGACAGCGCCTCAAGGTACCAGGGAGCAGGGAAGAAGATGAGAGTATGTCGGAGACAACAAGTTCCCTTGTGGCTGTGGGGGGTGGAGGAGGAGGGGAAGGAGGGAAACCGCGTCACACAGCCGCTTTGTGCTTCCCGCCGCAGCACCTGCACATCACCCCGCAGTGGTAGCAGGCCCGAAGGGGCAGGTAACAGCACATACAGGGGGCCAGGAAAGACAAGGCAATAAGAGCCATCCACCGGAGGCAAAACTTCTCGTCGCTAGTATCGCACGAGCACGGGTCTGTATAGTCTCCCTCGGGGTCCGACATACAGTGATAGAGCATGCTGTCCGCACACCACATACAGCTCACGCGGCGGATGCAAGTTCTCACGGAGTCGGGCGCGTCCTGACAGCGGCCCCTCCGGTTCTCCTCGTGGTTGAACATGTCCCTGCAGTACTCGCATCGGGAGCGCTCGCCGTCCTCCTTCCGCCGCCGGGACTTGCCCCGGGACGGCTGGGTCTTGATCACGCCGCCCCCGCGCCCTTTGGGGTCCTCGCCAAGGCCAAAGTCCGCGGAGTCCACGTAGGGGTAATTGTAGTCGTGCTTGGGGACCTCGCCCTTGGCGAAGCGCACGTACGAGTCGGCGTCCTCCGACGTGTCCGGGGACTTGCCCCTCACGGGAGCGTGTCGGTAGTCCTCGTAGCCCGTCAGCCAGATCTTCTCCCTCGGGTTGATGCGCACGATCTCCTCGTCGTCGTCAGGGAAGCTCACCTGGCGGTAGGGCCTCGGCATTGGCTGCCCCGGGAGAAAGACACCATTTTATAGCAGTGGCAAAAACAAACAAAATCCTCCACTTACTTGGCCTTGACAAAGGCATTTCTTGGAAAAAACGGACCCATCCTGGAATTACTGAACAGCTCCTAGGTCAGAGGTGTGTTGCGAGCTGTGATTCTCAATCCGTTCCTGGGTGGGAAATCCTTTTGTTGAGGTACTACTACCATACATGAGGGAACGTGTGCAGACTGTAAAAAGGCACTTTGAATTTCTGGAAGCTGAACACACCAAAAGGGAGACGCAGAACTTGCGAGGCCTCCCTAGGCCCCTGCACCTCCCTTCAGTTACCTCCGATGACCGCGGTCCTGATTTCTAACAGCTTAGATTGGTTTCACCTGTTTCTGTTCAGCGTGTTCTCTTTTGCAAGGCCAGCTTTTTTCCCAGTGAAACGGAAAAGCACGGGAATGTACTGCCCCTTATAAGGCTGGCATTTGTGGCTATCTGTATGTACGCAAATAGGTGCACACTGGGTCACAACAGAATATGCATTTTGTACTGTGGGTCATGTTGAGAAAAGCAAAAACGGATTTGAGGAGCTAGGATACAGGGGTATCTTGTCATCTGGTTGGGAAGATACAGAAAGGGTAGGAGTGCAGATCCGGAGGCTGACTGCCTGGAGTTTGAATCCTGCCAGGATCTCACAGCTGGTGAGGGGCAGGCTGGAATGTGAGCTCAGGCAGGCCAGACCCAGAGCCCCACCCTCAGCCTTCCAAACCCTCCCCGCCTGGCATTCTCCTGGAGGCGACAAAGTCATCTGGGCAGCTAGTCCTGCTATGGCTTGCAGGGAGGCCCTGTCCAGGGTGGAAGGCGCTGAATCCATTGTTAACAGACAGATGCAGGTAAGCCTGCCTGGCCCAGGCACCCTCGGTGTGGCAGAAAGTGAGATTTTCCACCTCTGAGGTCCTCTGGGGATGAAGGCTTTTTAAGGGGTGAGGAACATGGCTCCGAGTGAAACCACTGGAGTAAAATTCAGACTTTGGGATTTACCAGCAAGCCTCAGATTCTCTATCAAACAGCACAGGGCTATCATGAGAATGAAGGGAATCTACACACGGTGCACACAGAACCTATCACCATTATTGTCATTCTAATACTGTCCTAGAATTTATCACCTGGTAATTAAATCTATCCATCACTCTCACCAGACTGTAAGCCTCTTGAGGGCAGGGACCACATCTCACACATGTTGCCTAATTCCTATTAGATTCCTGACAGAGTTTCACAGACTCTGGAAAACCACAATCTTATATAAATCAAAACAAATCCTGAGAGAATAGGCTTTGCTAATTATTTTGCAAAGTAAGGACAGTCAAAAGGTCAATTCCCATCTATAGCTACCATAAAGTGATTTTTAAGAACATTTTAATGCCAAAATATTAGGAAGCGCACAACAGGATTTTTTTAGAGTTCTATAAATCTAGCTTTATGTTGAAAACAAAACTCTCACTGCCCTGTGTTCCTTTTTTTCTTTTCAAAGCAGCCTGGTGGCCACATCACCCTCCATGGGCACCAGTCCACGTCCCACAGTTTGGGAACCTGCTCCGCAAAACAGCCACTCGGTAAATATTTGTTGAATTACTGAATTCCAGACTCCAGCTACATCTCCCCAAGCAAGCCTGGGCCTGCAGCCTGCGATGCCAGGGTGCCCGAGCCAAGCGGACAGCATTCTTTAGTCCTGACCCTGGCTCTGGGCTTGCACACCAAGCCAGGAAGCCATGTGCACAGAGGAACTCAGGAGGCAGCACAGCACTCTGGGTAAGCACACGCTTGCATCTGTAACTTGTCCCATCAAGGACTCTCTCTCTCTCTGAGCCCTCAGCCTTCTCCTCTAGAAACTGGGGCCTCGTGGGATAATTTGTGAGGATTCAACAAGATTAAGCACAGGAAAGGTTTAGCACGGGGTCTGGCACACAGAAAACTAAGTAAAGATGTGCCACTGCCACCTCTCTGGCAATCTGGAGAACAGAGGATGCCTGGGGTTGAGCTTCAGGCCACATGGAAGGGCAAGGGGGCTGTTCCAGAATCAGAAGCCGCCCACCCCGTGCTCTCGGAAAAACCAGATGGCTGCTCACCTGTTCGAGGTGATAGTGGTCCGTGGGGTATGAGTCGTGGAGGTGGCCCAGGGTATAAATCCTCCGGTGCTCACAGGATGTGGGAGAGGAGATTGTCCGAGTAGGTTGTTCCCTCTTCTGGGAGGAATTAGAAGAACTGTCTGTAGCTGTCTGTTTAGAGGGAGGTAACCAAGAGTTAACTGAAACAAAAACAAAAACCAAACCCACATACCCAAACCGAACACGCTGTCTACCCCCACTTGTGGTGTCTTGTTGGACTTCCCGAAATCTGGAGTTTATCTTGGCTGTGGGAGGTAGAAGGACCCCTAAAGGGCCAGATTGTCTAAACATGATGTGGCTGGCTCAAAGGGTAGAGAAAGCCAGCCACCTAACCCTGGAAAGTTGGGTTTGTTTTCTCAAATGTGGGAGCAGTCACCAGGCTTTGGGGAAAGGGTTTGCTACATATGATCAAGAACGGTCACCTCATTTGTAGCCCTGGCTGCATGGGACCCCGGTGAGCAGGGGAGATGCAAACAGGCAAAAACCAAACCCAAGTGTTTCTGTGTGGAGCTAATCCCAGCCTGGGAAAGTCTCAGAAATAAGGATACCTCAAGGGTATCGTGGGCATTGGCTTTCCCGGGAGAAATTTTATAATCTTTGGGTTATATCCCCAAGGCAAGCCTTGGGGATCACTGTAAGCTGGGAGAGACAGATGATCACACAGAGAATGAAGGCCCCCGTCTGTCGGTGGTGAGAGCTGCTCTCCCAGTAGAAGCGATGGGTTCAGACTGGAGGCTCTGTGACAGTGTCTTTGGCAGGTGATCCGATATTGGGATGGACTGTAGCCACCACCTTGAAAACCAGGAATCCTCAGAACCTCCTCCTCCCCTGGCTCCTTAGAGTCCCTCCCAAATTGAGGAAAAGGTTTTTCTTGCATCTAGGTGTCCTATTTCTGGCAAATATCAAGGAACTCCTCTTTGGCTCTTAACTTCTCAATCTCCTATTCCCCTTGTTTCATTTGCTTATTTATCTCTTTATTTTACAGGTTTTTTGTTAGCATGCTGTATCTTTTTGGGGGCAAGGTTAAAACAGACTTATGAAAATTTTTATACCCTCACCCCCCAACTTATAAAGTAATACATGCCAAGAAAAATGGGACCAGTATTTAGGACAAAGACAACCATAGTCCCATTATGCAACTTAACTACTGTTAATTTTTAAAATTTGGTGGATATGTGCAGCACTTCTTTGGAGGCCCAAGCCTTCAGACTTTTTTTTCTCTAATCCTGTTTGGTTCAGGTGATGCAGAGCTGACGCTGTTTCTGATCCCTCAATCCAGAGTGACTAATTCAGATATGGACTCATGGTCCTCTCTGACGTAATACAGAGATTTTTCACGGAGAGGTCAGAAAAGATGCTGTCTTTATCTCTGAAGTTAAGATCTAAAGGTCCTAGAAGTCTGGAATCCTGGTGAGGGCACAGGGAAAGAACCTTCTGAGGAGGAAGTGAAGCCAAACCTCGGGAGAAGGCAGCCCCCACCCCCCACACCCTGCTCGAGGACATTCGAGCTTCTGGATCCCGTCAAGCCTGAATCTTGGATCTACTTTAGGCTGTCCCCATGGTGTGAGCGAATTCCCTTGGTAACTTCAGGCAGAATGTGTTGGATTCATCACTGGGGCACACTTTCTGCCCACTGCCCCCACCCCCCCGGCAGTCCTGCCTGCAGCACACTCCCGCCTCTCCTCACTCCTCTCCACAGCAGGGCAGTGGAACTGGGCATGCAGAGTCGGCTGCTTCTCTCCTCAGCCTCTTGGGAGCCACCCAACTGGCAAACAGCACATGCCGGATCCACTCTGGGGACGGTGCGGTCCACTAGGAGGCCAGGGCTGCCCCCCGCCCCCCCCCAGGAGGCTGTGGAGATCAGTGCCCCTGTTCTTTGGTGGGGCAGGTCTGTCAAATCGTGGGGTCCCCGCCTGAGCCATCCGCTTCCTGCAGATGTGGGCCAGGACGGGCATCATCACTCATTACGGGTCTCTTACCCCCCCCCCCCCGCCCCCACCGCCTCAGTACTTCAGAACTCCAGGAAGAATTGCTATTTACTCCTCAAATCCCAGTAACTGAAAGAAACCAAACTGACACACAGGAACTCTCACTTTCTCCCAACTCTGTCCTGTCTTCCCCGCTCTGCCCCACTCTCTGCATCACTGACCGCCTCCCCGTTCCCACACACAGGTGGTTATAGATCAGCCAGAACGATAAAGCCAAGAGCTCTTCCCCAGGTCCGGCTGTGCAAGCGCACGCCGTGTGCAAGACCCCAGCTGCAGGGGCGCGGACGCAGCACGGGCTCCGCGTCACACGCAGGACGACAGGCTCCCGGCTGCGCGGGGTCCTGCTGACCAGGGCAGGCAGCCCCTGCAGAGCTGGACTGAAATGCAGCCCTGACCCCCACGCCCAGGGCGGCGTCCATACACAGCACTGCTGCGTCTAGCTCCCACGAGCCCTGCCGAGGCCCGCTCTCCGAGGGATTTTGCTGAGATGAACAGGAGCACAACGTCTCCAAGTATAAAGGTGCGCCCTGCTTTAGGCAAACCCAGGAGATAGGGGATGATGTGTCATGATACAAAGGTTTCTAAAGATCTCGATAAATACTTCTTGAATGAGTAGGTGGGGCCCTTCAGCGTGATTCAAATCTCAAGGGTTAAATTCTTAAGCAGCATCCGCAGTGATCGTCCTCTCTCACGTTAGAAACTACCCATGTCCTCGGCATCGTGGTCACCTCCTTGTTAATCATCTGTTCGCCCTCCCCCACCCTATTTTCTGTGACCTATGTCCAGGTTAACAATGTATAGAAAGTCATTCTGAGCCATGAGGCACACCCGTGTTTTCCCAGAGTTCATCAGCCAACCAGTAATGCCACCTCATATGCACCCATCCTACCTCCCTAACCCCAAACTGCCTCTGCCCACTGCACAGTCAAGTGCAAAGCTTCCTGGACCCTATCAGAAAACATGTGACTGAGCAGAGCCTTTAAATATCTCCCCATCTAATGATAAATTTGTATAGGGAGCAAGAAGGCCAGAAAGCTTTGAAGCGTGTCCACAGTTCACCGTCTCCTGCAGGCAGAGCTGAAGTCCATGCCTGGACTGCTGGGGGTCTGTCTGGACTCTGGCAAGGAGAGCATGTGGGAGAGGCTGCAATGAAGCTGAGGCTTATTCCAGATCTATGGTATCAGATCTTGCCAAGCAGTGAGTGTGACCTACAAACAAAAGCAATGTGTACTATCAAGGCACCTCCAAGAAACAAGGGGGGAAAATCCGCCTTTTATCCACATGTATGCCCCTTTTCTTTTTAAAATTAAGTAATCTCTATGCCCAACGCAGGGCTCAACCTCATGATCCTGAGCTCGAGTCATATGCTCTACAGACTGAGCCAGCCAGGTGTCCCATCCACATGTACTGCAGAACCGACTCTCCCATAACTCTGCTTGTGGTGTCCACACACGCTGGAGAAATGCAGCCCACCTAAGCAATGCGCGCACGCACACACACACACACACACACACACACACACACACACACTGTCACAAGCAAGACTCCCGGACATCGGTTATTTGCATGCACAAGCGAATGACACCTACCAACCGACCAGTCTGACAGCGTCACCTTCAACTCGAAAACTCTGGGCGTGTTTTAAACTCCCCATGTTCTCCAGGGGTTGTCTCTGTCATGGGTTTGAGCTCAAGCAGAACAGAAGCAGAGGCTTCGGCGCCGCCCCCCATGGACAGCGAGGGCCGGTACTGCTGCTGACCCGCGGGCGCTCCTGTGTAATGTGACTCGGCAAGCAGACCCAGAACCACTGCCACCTGCAGATGTCGCCTCCAAAAAATCTTGCCTCTGGCTTTGGGTTGGACTCTGACTCAATGTCCATGCCCATTATTCAAAAGATGTCCAATGAAGAAGTTTGCAACCCAATCGAGGCACCAAACAACAGAAATGCGATGGAGTGTTCTAATGCTAAATAACAAGGTCTCAGCTCAGAAGACTGGATGGGAATCATCCTCTAATTATAAAGTTGTGTGATTTTGTGCAAGGTAACAAGCTTTGTGTGGCCTGGTGCTGAAGCCCTCTAACAGGGCACAATGCTGAGACAAGACATCGGTAAAGGAGAATCTAGACGGAACAGGAAGGTGAGAAAAGGAACAAGGGGAGGGTGGGAGCAAGGGTCAGAGAGTCTAAGATGAAAGAGTGGGCACTGCCAACCTGAAGATCAAGAGAATAGACATGAGTGGGCTGAGCGAATCCACTTGGATCGTGGCACTCATTCCTTCCCTGGAAGGTTTTCGGGTTTGGGTTGGGTGCTTTGTGGGATGTGGGCTCAGACACACAAGGTAATGTGGCAGGGGCAAGGCCAGGTGGCTTCCATCCTAGATGGGTGGACAACCCAGAGCAAGGCTCAGAGGAAGAGAAAGAGGTTCAAGTTTACCAGTGAACATCTAATAAAATTCTTCAAAGAGAGCGAGCTTCCAAGGGCCAAGACTCTGCAGACATAAATAGTACTTATTTTGAGAATTCAGTTATTTCTTGTAATTCCCCAGAATTTAACAACGAATGAGAGAAATACTCCAGAGCTTCAAAAGTTGATACAGACTTTTCTTCTGAATAACTGACTTTAATGTCCCGGTATCTGACAATAAATCACAATCTGAAGTGCAAAAGATACTGCGCTGAGGCTGCCTGGTTTGGGTGGGAACCGGAATAAACGGGGAAAGGAGAGTAGAAGATCCATGTCTCACATTAAACCTGTGGCTGGCTCCCTCCTACTGCACGGGCATATTTTATAAGACAGCATTTCTTACTCTTGGAACCTTGACTACTCTTCCCTTTCCTTGGGTTTACCTGTAGGTTCTTGAAGCACACGCATCGGTTCGCATGCCTTGGGTCCGGAAAGAGCCTTCTTCATTTGGAAGGTGAACCTCTTTGACCAAGGGAAGCTCAAGGAAGGGAGGAGGAAGAACGCACCAAGAGGCCAGAGCAGCTGAGGAGGCAGTCTGCTTAAATCACCCATCCTGGGATGGAATCCTGGCTGGTGACCAAGGGCTTTTTGGGGCATTCAGGGTGGGTCAGACATCTGCGTTTCAAAGCAAAACAAGTGTTTTCAAGGCTATGTGCATCCCTTCAGCTCCCCTTGCGTTTTCCTGCTAAATCTTTGTTTTTTGAAAGGACCAGAATGGCCGAGGCAGCAGCAGGCAAACGCTTAAGGGAGAGGAAAGATGTGCCCGGGGCTGTTCTTTCAAAGACACTTGGAACTACTGAGGAGGCAGCTGGAGTGTCCTACTGGACTCCGTATCTGCGACTGTGAGGAGGTCCGCAACTGGCAATTTCCTTCTCCGTCTTGGGGATGGAGACAAATGGGACGAGCCCCACCTTCAGAAAGGCAAACAAGGACAGTCACTTGATCATCCCTGTGTTCCCAGGAACACACGAGCTGATAGAAGGAAACACACAGCGTCAGGGGCCAAGCGCAAGGAGCAGCCGCGTCAGGAGGTTAAGAGGCCAATGTGTTTTAAATAAGGCCTAGAAAAATGAAGGTAAGAAATGCTTAAGGAGCCAGACCATCTCACCCAGAAATCACACAGCCCTCTTAAGCACCAACTGCACTGTATCAAGAGAAGTGACTCCAGGCCAGGTGTCTTGGGACACACTGTTTGACTTCCCAGGGCCTCAGTTTCCTCATGTGTAAAACAAGGGGGAAGCATACAGTGATCTCCGCGGTCTGATGGAGCTGTGAGGGGGCACATGTAACCCTCCTCCCCTCCTCTTAAGAACATTAGGGGTCCAAGGGGTTTGACCAAGACTGTTGTTGCCTCGCTGATTCGAGGGCCACAGGAGTCCTTCAGATTGATGAAGCAGAATTCTTGCGTTGGCTGCAGATGCTGCTATTTTACATCTTTAAAGGAGGCTACCTGGCAGTTATGACCGCAATTCGTAGTATTTTTACTGCAGTCCGCCACCAAAATAGATCTCAACAGCTGATGCAACCAACGCAATATTCGACCTTCTTTCCACTGCAAGGGCTTCTCATTTTGTTTTTTTTAAAAAGTATGCACACACACTAAATATAAATGTGTACTATTCCTCTCAACTTCGGGCCGGGTGACCGGACTGATGACACAAAACCCTGGGCACCTCCTGCTTCTCGGAAGGTAAACTGCACAGTTGAGTGCCTCAGAAGGCTTGGCTCAGGTGGCTTGACGAGCTGTTGTTTCTCATTCTTCAGTAAAGCACGCCTTCCCCCGGGTACCTGCTGGCCCCACAGACCTGTGGCCAGCCCTTCTTCCTTCAGTAAACTGGAAGTGGTCACCCATGTTGTCGGCAGGTCTTTGGGAACAGGTAGCACTGTCTCACCAGTCCTCTGGGCCTACAGAGGTTCCAGGTGTCCTCTTTCAAAAAGGCAAGAAAGCAGCCGGGCACGGGCTCTTGCGTGGCGGCCCCAGCCAGCAGGCCGTGGGGGTCTTACGAGGCAGCTGCAGGAGCAGGGGTAAGAGGCGACTCTGTCTTTAGACTCTAGGACATTCTGCTCTCTGGGACCCAGAGGACCAAGTGGGCATTCTTTCATTGTGAAGAGAACAACAAAAACAAAATTCCCACTCATTGGAAAAAAAAAAAGTCTTGGGTTTCTGAATTCTGAAGTGAGGTGAAATTTTGCTATAAAAGGAAAGGGCTCTGACACACACCCACAGCTTGGCTTCACTGGAAGGGCTGAGGGGCTGGGAGCAGGAAGGCGGGGTTTCAGGTAACCCTGAATATGCACTCTGTCTGAAGGAGGGAAATGGAAAGAACAGTATCCTGCCGGCCACAGCTTAAGAAGATGAGATGAGATGCATGTAAATGGAGAAAGACACAAGTGGGAAGGCTGGCAAAATGCCTTTGGGCTTCCTGAAACTGAGAGCATTGCAAAGCTTTTGTCTGAGCCTTAGCCGTATTAACTGCTTTAACTGAGCCATTGTAGGTATGGGGGGGGGGTCGAATAAAAAGATCCTCCCCTTACTATGCAATGTGAGCTTGATAATTCTTGTCATTTAGAAGATAAAGCAGCTCCCACCCATCTTCTGAGACCCTGCAGCCACCCTGGGTGGTGCCGGGTGTCAGCCAGCAGCAGTTACGGGGACGCTGCTTCCTGGTGTCGACCACAAAGCATATGGCAGACCCTCCCAACACATTTTTGCTTTACTTAATCATCCACCATCGATCAGCTCCACTGGCTAAACTTTGTAGAAGTAGCTTACATCTTCAACCTGTCTTCTGTTTTCCGTAGCCTCTCCCCATCCCACTCTGCCCCATCCCTTGACTGTTGAAGGTAGAGACAACAGAAAACATT